ATCCCCCAAACCAAAAAGAGTTGCGCTTGGGTGAACCCTAATTAGTCCAACCAGTCGCGTTGTGATTCATTCCAACATGACATGGACCAATCGATCAAGTCGTCGACAAAACTGCCTCGGCAATCGATCGGAGACATCAATCAATCCACATGAGGTCCCATCAAAAAGTCGAATGCCTCTAGCAAAACCAAAAACAGAAAGTTTCAGCCATGGACCTCCTTTTTGGATCATGGTAACATGGACCAAGAAAAAGTTTTTCGTTCCAAGAAGCGTATCAACAATTGAACCGCCAAGGCACTTTGCAGAAACATGGCAATGATGGTAGTCATGCTGGGTGGTCGTGACGATGATGATGATGATGATAGATCATCCATAACTTCACAGCAAATGTCTTCGACAAATAGAATATTTGATGATTCCTCGGTCATGTTTGTTGGAATCATCATCATGGTGGTTGTCAAGTTCATCCTGTTTTCAATTTAAAAAAAATGTGCTCCATCGAATCATCAACGTGAACCCATGTTGATGGGAGACATCCATCCTTGCCGGAAAGTTTCGGTCACCGTCACAAAATTCTCCCGAAACGACTGGAAAAGTTGCGAACGAACGTCAAAATTTGAAAATATATAGGGATAAAGTCACAAGAGACAAAATACGGGGAAACTATTCGCGTCAATCTTTTCGGTGTCTCACATCAAATGCAGTCATTGGGTAAAAAACAAACAACAACACCACAAAGTGAGAAAAAAAAAGACATCCACTTACTTTTGGGTGCATCCTTCATTTCCCTTCTTATCATCAAAACACCTCTTGTTGAAAGAAAAAAACAACCACAACATCAAGATTGCAATCATCAACCGTTGTCGTCACCAGCCAGCACCACCAATATCATGAGCGAACGCCACAGCAAGAACAGTAAGAAATCCAACGCCGAGCGACAACGGGAGGTGGATCGTCAACTCGAGTTGATGAAGGCGGCGATTGGAGATGATAACTTTGATAGCGACAGTGAATCAGACAGTGATGATTCTTTGGAACAGCTCAAGGAACGTTCTGGTAGTAGTAGTCGCAACGCTGTGGAATCCGCTCGCAAATTCTTGTGGGACGAAGCCGATGACGAAGATGATGCCGTCTTGTTGGGTGGTC